CACACTCTCTCTCGCTCTCTCCCTCTCTCTTTTAGCTGGATATCAAGCCTCGCGGCGCTATAGTCTTGCACTGTGTACACATCGTATTTTAACCGTAATAACATTTGTACATAAGTAGAATCAGTTCCCTGATACCAGCGCACTTCTAATGTCGAACAGTACAAATATTGTTAGTCTCGAAAGTATACATGGTAGATTTTCATAATATGTTTACAATTCACCGCAATTTGCTCTCTTTCTCTTTCTCTCTCTCTCTCTCTCTCTCCCCCTCCTCTCTTTCTCTCTACAAACTTACGTTATACTAATCATTATTTTTTCTTCTCATTTCCTTATTTTTCTCTTTTTTTTAGTCCTTTTTTTATTAGACACTGCTGAAACCATAGTTCATTATCTTTTTAGAGGCGATTCCCGGAGCGAGGCGGCGCTGCGGACCTCGGCGCAAGCAAAATTTGTCTCACACAGTAGAAATCTGCAATACGACAAAACATTTTTTTTTAATTTAGCGATAGATTTCTGCTTCGTGATATCTCTCATTAATTCGACGCTTCACGTTTTTCTTTAGAAAAAAAAAAGAATGTTCGCAAAACTTACCTAATATTCCTCACAGAAATGTCTTCTTATAAATAAGAATCTTTTCTTATGATAGATCTGGAAGTATACAAAAATCGCGTGTAATATAAGGACAAAAAGCAAAATGAAACACAAAAAAAGAATTCTTAGAGAAAATACTTACAACTCGGTGTAGCCGCGGACTCGAATCTTTTCTGTAGCTGATCGTACGTGAATTTGACGAAAGCGTCATACTGTTCGGAGAGCTTTAGATGTAAGATCTGATCGTACTCTTCTCGAATTTTCGTTTCTTGCTCCTTGAGCATTCGCTCGCAGATTACACCAACCTGCGGACAAAACCAATCTTACCAATCCATATCTACAAAGCCAAAACTTTTATATCCTAATAATTGATATATATCTCTAATACAATAATCCCAACGTAAACGTA